CATGTTTTACCAGCTGTGGTGCTAGTTGACCCGGGGAGGGAGGTTGTACGCGAGGATCATTTTGCTTCTGTGCTTTGTCCGTGGGGGCGTTGTAGCCGCACTGCAGCGCCATGGCTGAGCCTATGTAGGGTAAACACCAGCCTTCTAGGGTTCTACATCCCCTCCAATGCACTTCCCAACACAATCACTCATTCAGCCATTCACACACACCTTCACACAAAGTTAACTGTTAGCATTAGCAACTCCACCACGCAGCATAACTCCTTCACGCTTGTGTTATTTGTGGAAATAAAACATCAATGTTGCAGCGCAAACTGAGTGAGGGGTAGAGTCATGTTGCTGTCATCCAATTCAAGGCGAGATGCCCAAATATCAGGAAATAAGACTTCAAATCCTGCTGTCTGTAGCTCAACTCTAATATGGTTCTCTTCTACTTCCTGAAAATGATGCATCATAGCTTTGTTTCCCCAGAGTACAACTTACAAGTCATTCATTCCTACTGGGGACCACTGCAGATGTATTGATTAAATAAGTGATCCACATCTTAAACGATGGCTGTGAGGACCAGTCTCACTCCCAGAAATATGTTTGCTTTTCACAAATATGTTGCCAGGCCAAATTACCAACAGAGGAAGCCAAAGGTGCTAGGGCAATTTTAAAAGTAAGATATCAAGAATTTAGTCAAAAGCCATAGCTATTGAATACAAGTGCTATTTTATTTCAATTAACAACATGAAAAAGACATTCTTAGCTAATTTAAATGTAAACAGGATATGCTGTTTACTACTTTCAAAGTAACACAGTTTAACTTTGTGCAAATAATACATTGATCTTTGGACTGATGGATCAGTTTTTCAATGTCAATGAGTATCAGAGACACGGTGGTCATTAATTAGCTTTATGCGGGTGGAAAGCAACTAATTTTAAGATGGACTGATAGAACTTTAGACATGAAACAGGAATTCTTTGCCACTGCTAAAACATCCCTCATGGTACCAAAGCATCCCATTTACCTTCTGGAGGTATTTCTTGCCTGAAGCTATTGATTTTGCAGAGTCTTTGGGACCTAATTAATTTTTTTTGCCTTGCAACACTTCAGATTACATGCCTCAAGCTAAGATGGGAGAACTGTCATTATGACTGATGACAAGAAAACCAAAATATGTGAAAGGTAAAAAGAAGCTGAGACATTAAATAAATGATCTGAATTCCCCTGCTGAGGTAAATTTGTGAATTTTTTTCCAGGTCATTTGGAGTTTGTCTCTTTTAGAAGAAGTCTGGTTCTCAAGAGCCAAAAATGTTAATGTGCAAAACATCATAGTTCCTCAGGTTAAAGTGAGTGAACAAAGGCACAAAGGCAGTCTGTACAAACTATTACAAATGTGTTTTTATTATTTCATAAAAGGCTTCTTATCTGAGTCACCAGTGGCTGGGAGAGTCTCAACAAATTCAGCCTAAATAAAAGACATTTAACAACACACATATCTGCAAATGATGTGCCCACACCATGATCATTTTTATTGGTTTTAGATAACAGCAAAGTCAAATATAGTAATACAATTATATTGGAGTTATATAGAGGTTATTCAGGTTATTCATGGGAGAGAGTCGTTAAGGCTTGCATTTGCTTAGAAAATATTTCTGTTTCTATATTGTCCTTCATGGTTAGATTATAGCTGTTAAAATAATGGAACCCCACATGGACAACATTCGTAAAATAATACTTTGTTGTTTTATTCTCAATAGCTCAAAGCTTTTGTCCTTCAAGAGTGTTTTTATTCCTTACGTTTTCTTTGTAGATTTAAATCTGCTAAAGTAAGAATGTAGCAGTTATCCTTTTACTGCATTCATTCGTTCATTTAATCATCAAAGCCATCCCACCTTACGAATAAAAAATGGGAAAAAGTTTTACTTTTCTTTTATTATTATTATTTAGGTACTTCTTTCTTTCTGTATTTCTGTATTTATGTAATTTCCTTAGTTTATCAGCCAAAAACATCACTTGCTTATGAAGAAAGTACTTTAACATTAAAAGTTTTAAAATTATGGATATGTTTAAAAGTAGTAGAGTTACTCATTTTTGAAATTGTTTACATTCTCATTATGTTGCTCTATTGAGTGATGCACATTCCCGTGATGGTGGAGGAACGTAGCGCCATGGCCGGCAGGCTAACTTTTATCTGCATAACACCTGTAGCTACCGGCGGTCCGGCACGCTCGGCTCAGGTGCGGCAGAATGAGAGAAATTGCAGACGGACATGGCTTCTGTGTTTATTTCCCTGTTGGCTGCCTCCATGTTTTTGTTAGAGATGCAGCTGTGAACTGGGACTTAATGCAAACCGATGATTCGCTGGGGCGATGCCTGAAGGGAAAAAAGCCGAAGGAGAAAGTAAATTTGAAGACTACTTATCATGCAGCTGCCTTTTCCAGCTCTTGGCACCAGGATACCTTAGGCCGCAGTTCAATGATTGACTTTGTTGTCGTTTCGTCTGATCTGCGGCCGCATGTCTTGACCGCTCAGATGAAGAGAGGGGCAGAGCTGTTAACTGACCACTACCTGGTGGTGAGTTGGCTTCGATGGTGGGGGAGGAAGCCGGTCAGACCTGGCAGGCCAAAACATATTGTTAGGGTCTGCTGAGTGGGCCATGTTCCGTGCTTCTATTGTTGAGGCAGCTAACCGGAGCTGCGGCAGCAGGGTTGTCGGTGCCTGTCGTGGTGCTGGCAACCCCTGAACCCACTGGTGGACACCGGTGGTTAGGGATGTTGTAAAGATGAAGAAGAAGTCCTATCAGGTCTTTTTGACCTGTGGGAGTCCAAGCGGAATAGGACTCGGGTGGCCACGGAGCCAAAAACCTGGGCGTGGGAGGAGTTTGGTGAAACCATGGAGGAAGGGTTAGGGTTAGGGTTCTCAAGAGAGGAAAGCAGTGCACTACCAACACTGTTTACAGTGGTGATGGTGCTGCTGATCTCTATTCAGGACGTTGTGGATCGGTGGACGAAATCCCACTGGCACGTTTTCCAGTAAGGAAGCAGAGTCTGGGGACTTTGAGTTGGACTCTCCAATCTCTGGGGCCGGGGTCACTGAGGTGGTCAAAAAACCTTTTAGTGGCAAGACCCCAGAGGCGGATTAGATCCGCCCGGAGTTCCTTAAATCTCTGGATGTTGTTGGGCTCTGTTGGTTGGCGTGGCTTTGCAGTATCGCGTGGACATCGGGGGCAGTTCCACTGAATTGGCAGACTGGTGTAGTGGTCACCCTACTTAAAAAGAGGGACTGCATGGTGTGTTCCAACTACAGGCTCTGTTTTCTTTCTTTCTGCTATTTAACAGCTCCGGTAAATTATTTATTGTTGTTATCAATAGTTACGTTGCTGAAAAATTCAACACCTAGGGCTGCACGATATTAGGAAAACCTGCAATATTCGATAACAGTGCTTAATATTGCGATATCGATATTACTCGCGATAAATGAACAAATACTAAAGTATGCAGTGTTGATGTCGTCTGGCGTGTGATGTCTGCTCTGGGGTCAAAGCAAACAAAAACTAATGCATGAATTCCATTACAACATAACATTTTCATTGCAGAAACATGCAGCTGCACCTGCTACTGTATTAGCAGCTGCACCTGCTACTGTATTAGCAGCAAAACAACAAACTGCATGCATGCAGTTTCTCAGTGACTTTAAAACATCACCTCCACCATAAAACTTTTTCTGATGCTCCAAATACAGAAAAACATCCCTTACCAGGGTTTTTAGAATAAATAAAAATATCTGAAAATAAGTTTAAATGTTAAATAATAGTTAACATCACTTAAATGCAACAGCAAATTCTCTCATTGCTACTGAACATTTTCTCCACTTATGTGGTTATGATATAAGGCTGTTGCTGTAATTGGGAAGTGAACTGTGCTGGGCCAAACTAGGAGAATATTAAGATTTTCTGAGGGAAAGAGAAAAACAATTGTCTACCTTTCAGAAGAGGAACTGGCAAAAAAAACTACATGGAAAATATGTGAAAATGTTTGTTTTTAACCCCAAATTAAACAAGTTTACCTAGATCTTAAAAAGCAGCTCAGATGATGAAACTGCAACTATGATTCTGATAACAAGCTAACAAACTGAACTAGCTCCTCTTAAGATACCCGGCTAGCAGAGCTTCTGACAGTTTATGTGCAGCAACAAATCAACTATCTTGATTAACAAGGTTATAAAAGCTCATAAATGAAAAATCACTTTAATGTGTGGGGGAACTTTTCCAGGCCCTCTTTAGCAGGGTGGGACTGGGAGGAGAGAGCTGTAGCCTTTTAGCTGGAAGCTAACCGGAGCCTGGGGCTAACGGTGGGTTGATTCACCGGCACGTGTCGGAGTCAGCCCGGTTATTATCAGCTGCTTAACGACACCGAGCGGACTCACGTTCACGTTTGAAAGAAGCGCCAGCATGATGTGTGGAACTTAGAGATAAAAAGCATTATAACAGCTCAAGTCATGGATGTGGACTTTACTGTCAGCTTTTTCTACAGAAGATCAACGGGAAACATTTCTGGTCATACTCAACCATACATGTGTCTAAGCTGTTGATTGAAGGTGGCAGACATTGGATCATACTTGTTTTGTGTCATTTCCATCACTTTCAGGGTCATATAGACAGCCATGATTCTTTCAGCTCACAGGATCTCCTCATTCACCACTTTGTTTACTCTTTGTCCTCCTGTAGTACTCGTATATCCTGGTTTGAAAGCTTTTGTTTGCTCAGCTGAAGGTTAGAGCCTCTGTATGGCAGTGGTGTGTAAACACAGAAACACAAGCACACAACAACACAAGCTTTTAGTTGTTAATGTTTCACCTTGACATGTTTCAACTAATCAATACAACTTCCGGTTGAGAGCCAGAGGCTGTTCACCATTGTGTTTTTTTTTCTTTTTACTTATTAGAAATGGATTTCAGTGATCACTGATATTTCAGACAGTGAATACTCTTTCCCATTCTTTGTTTTTTTTAGGTGTTATTCGAACGAAAGAACTGCTGGACCACGAGACCACACCTCACTACTGGCTCACAGTCTATGCAACGGATCGTGGCGTGGTACCGCTGTCTTCTTTTGTTGAGGTTTACATCGAGGTCCAGGATGTCAATGACAATGCACCTCAAACCTCCGAACCCGTCTATTACCCATCTATCATGGAGAACTCACCAAAAGATGTGTCCATCATCCTGATAAATGCTGTTGATCCAGATACCAAGTCCAGTGATAAGCTCACCTACAGGATCACCAGTGGAAATCCCCAGGGGTTCTTCACCATAAACTCCAAGACAGGTAGGAGCACAATTTATGGAATGAAAATATTTGTTTAAGATGCTTTGTCATACTGAAAGTGAATCAGCTGGGATGAGAATCAGCTCCTCTAAATCCAAGACCATGGTCTTGAGTCCAAAAAGGGTAGAATGCCTTCTCCAGGTCAGGGATGAGGTCCTGCCCCAGATGGTGTAGTTTAAGTATTTTGGGGTCTTGAAAGTTGAAGCACAAGATCAATAGGCTGATTGGCGCTGCATCTGCAGTGATGCGAGCTTTGTACCGGAGAGTATCGGAGAGGGAAGTCTGTGCTCAAGCTTGGTTTATGCTCGACGCATTCACTTTCCGCTTGGTGATGCGGCTCGCGGCTGGAACACGCTTCACAACTTGCAGCGTTTATGGTTCATGCGGCTTGTCTCTGCGGTGAGCCAATATTCTCCCAAATTGTAGGGGGCAGCATGGAGCTCTATGGCATGCATCCAACACTACACCATAGTAGAAGTAGAAATGACTGTTTACAACATGGTATTCCAGCATTTTTAACAGCGTCCTCGTCTTTTCCGACAGTGTGAGCTATTTCTCTCCAAGAATTATTAACAACATGTTGATCACGGTGATCTCTGAGAGCTGAATCATACAAATGTCTGTATTTACGAACCTCTGCCATAACTAGTTCTTGCCAGTCCGCCATGTTTTTCCGTGTGTGTAACCGCGTGGTTAGAAAATTTACTAGGTGCGCGGTGCGGAAAATTTGGGCCGTGCGGAGGCGCGGTGGAGGGGCGTGGTTGTTAACATGACGCGAGTTTGCCACACGGTGCCGTGCAAACCTCGCGGATGCGTCAAGCATAAACCAACCTTAAGGCAGCTTCCCCCACAACCTGATTCTGGATAAGCAGAAAAGAATGGATAGATGGATGGATGCCTCTTCACAGCTTGAGTTGAATTTGGTTTTAAAGAGCAAATTGTGGCTAAATGTAGCTGAATGCTTACAATACAAAGACATTAATGATAAAGCTAGGAAAGCACATTATTTTAGCAATGGTCTTAAGGCTGGTTTATACTTCTCTGTCTGCGTCGGTATGAAGACAAGCAACTCAATTTTCCATTGTCGCAATAGCTTTCCAACAGGCATGCAAGGACAGATGGAGTAGAGCCCACTTTTCTAAATATCCGTCAAAAGCAATGGAGATTGGCAGCCTGTGATTGGTCAGGACACCGTTTCTTTAACTTTGTCAACAGCACCTCCATTCTGCTTCAAAGAAATAAAATGAGAGCAGAACATATCTAGCGACAGACACGGGGCAGATTGAAGAACGTCTCGTAAAAAAAGTCCAACGGCATAAACGTTAATATACCCGTGACCAAAGGAGTACAAAGATATGCAGCAAACTTTTTATTTGTGTCAGGAAATTACAGGAAGCGTGAGTTAGAGGACGTGCCTGGATGAAGAGGTGGAGGGCAAGTTGTTCCGTTTTAAAAATCTCTGAACTACATAGAGACAATGTAAACACACTAGAGACGTGACTGCAATAATAGCAGGATGTGCCAGAAAAGTGCTGCGCCCTCTGCTGTCCCGGCAGAGAATTGCTTCACAACATGGACACGCTATTTAATTTATATAGCGCCTTACAGACAAAGGCACACCACCAAGGGGCTTTACAGAACAATAAAAATTAAGAACATTTTGAAAAAACTATTGAACAGAAAAACAAGTTAAAACAAAATAAAAACCAGGAATACAATAAGATAAGATTGCATAAAAGACTAGTTAAACGCCAGATCATAAAAGTTAGTTTTTAGGCTTGCTTTAAAAACCACCACAGATGTAGAGGTCCTAATATGCAGTGGAAGGTCAGGAAGGTTAAACTATACTATGAGCCAAGCACAAAGGTCTCTTTACGTTGTTGTGACTGGCTGACGAGAGACAAGCGTCAACCGGGCTCCTGTTTCCCTTTAAACACTATGAGCAGCATATTTGGCGAGTTGCACTCTAACACTCTAAAGTGTGTCCTCACGTGGTCCTCTGAAAGTGATGTGATGATTAATATTTCATTAACATCTTTTAAAGTGGATCGAATGGGCCATATTCAGTGGTGTGGCAGAAAGAAATCTTTGTGATAGGTGCACAGTGACACTTTTTTTGTACGTTCACAGCTTTTATTGCACTTCTAAAGCAAAAAAGTTTAAAAGAAGTTAAGATGCTTCTAAATTGAGGCAGTTGAAGTTGGCAACTGTGCCTGAGCTACACAGGTCACTTCTCTGAATTCAGCCAAAAATGAGATGGGGAGGGGATTGTAGCAGCAGTTGCTCCAGTCTGTCTCAACTTCACGTGGGTGGTCTTGTTTCCCAAGGTAGTCCCATCTCCAAACTAGAGTTATTTTTGTTGGAAGTGACTATGTGAATTTTCTGACCAAATAAGGTTTCATCGTTTAAGCTTCCTCCAAAATAAAACCCATGGAGTGTCTTTACTCTTATACAGGAACAGAAAAAAGAAAAGATAAAAAAACGGTGGTATGCCCATATGGTTTTTGTTTTGTCTGCATGCATGAAAGGATGTGCTTACTCAGGCTGATAAGAAGTCTTTTATGTTAAAAAGGAAAACCACTATGAATTCATTTTTATACATCTTCCAACAGAGGAGTCATAAATAACAGTTTTGAAACACGAGCAGATCTCACACAATAAAGAAAACTCATTGTATGATGTCACAGACACACCCCGTTTTCTGTCTCTGTGTACCCAACAAACTCCTTACAATCACTGCACAATTTTTAAAACTCAATTATTTGATGAAGTGCACTTAAACAATGTATTATTTTCTCATTGCATACAGATTTTCATAAAAGCTGACAGTAAACCGTTAATGCATCGCTTATTTAGTAGTGAGATAAGGTTCTCCTACCCCACCGATAGATAACAGATTATTTAATAATGCTTATGGTGACATTTGATGTTAGGCAGCAGCTCTTTACAGTGAAATTTTGATATGTCTTTTATTTTTTATGACTGTCAGTGGAGCTCAGTTAACAAAAAAGCGGGAAATACACAGAGGCAGAAGGATGAGACACATTCATGCATATCAAAGCGTGTTAAAATTTTTATCACTGGGATATCACTGCCGCTTGCATCATGTAGAGCTAAGACGAGTTTGAAAAGAGAAAACTTTGTTGAATTCGTGCTTGAAAGTTTAGATTTTTACTCGTAGCTTTTTCGAAAATTTGGCGAAGACATAAAACGAGATTTATTTACTTAAATCAGTGGTGTGAAACTGCTCAAAATAGCCTTGCATCTCTTTGCATTTTAAACTCAATACAACACCGCTCACCACATATTACACGTTTGTGAAAATGTTTTAATTTACAGCATGCAAGGCTCTCTAATTACATGTTCTAAAATGGTATCGAAAGCATAGGCCCCATCTTGGCACGTCTACAGAAGATCTCTAAAGTGGTGGGGCCAAAGGAAAAGATGCTGAGGCCTGTGTTTTTGTGTGTGTTATGAAACTTCATAGGCTTTTCTTCCAGGCTAACAGGATCTATGGTGGGAAATGCTCAGCCCCTAAACAAATACAGAAAAAGACTTAATTTTACGCCTTGGGTGGTGTTGGTTGCCCCCTTTTTCCACGTATTCCCACATTGGTTCTGTAAAGCCCAGGATCAAAAGCTTAGGTCTACTATATTTCTGCCAAATAAACAAGTCTCGGATGTTGCCTGATTTTGTCATTTAAGTGCAAGGCCAGCCTTCCAATCTCGAAGGCACTTTTGCACATCACCTTCTTTTGGAAAGGATTGAAGTGGGTAGAAATAAACCAGGGCAAGCTGCAAAGAGAAAAGATTATTATGCCTGCCAGCAGCATAGGAATTAGGTTTTCAAAATCAGCTCGAGATCATGAAATTTGAATAATACCGTTCAAGTGAAAGAATGAAAAAAGATGAAGCAGTTGTCAGGTTGAGATGGTATCCTACACGGGGACGTGACTACAGTTGTTTTAAGCTCCTCCTCAGCCTTGATTTGGCTGCTAGAGTATCGAATTTCCTGGATAAAGAGCGATAGGCTCTTTGTCAATAGATCACATCAGGATCCAGACATATAAATATATGTATGAGTGTGTGTGTGAAAGGTTAAAGTACAATATTATTTTCATACGCATCACTTGAGACACTCGGCTCGTTCCCCATCCAGTTTTACGTTGTCTCCCTAGAGTTTCCCACCTTTTCTGTGGGAGAGCGAGGCGTGTTCATTACCAGCTGAATCATTTCCTGCCTCCTCCGAAACGCTTCTGCTGTGCTGCAGACTTTAACTAGAGATTTCATGCTGGAACACAAATGTGTTAGGAAAGAGCAACCAGGCAGAACAAGAAGTCAGAACACACACGCTCACGGCACAGGAAGTTTTCCATGCCTGCACCAAGGAAGAACAGCTAGTGCAAAGATTGTACTACATACTCAGTACGTGAACTTTGCAAAAATATTCGTTGACTTTTGAAAGTAGATTATCATAATTTTATGATGAGTAGATTGATGCTTAAAAACTCCACCCTGTCTACGTTTGTGGTCATAAATGACGTAGTTTCAGCTTTTACAGGAGTACTAAACAGGTGGGGCTGTCTGTACAAGATTTATTTTGCAGTAAATTGTTTTGGTGGATCAGCTGAAATGAAGGCAAATTGTCTTGTTTTCACAACTATTGACATGAATCTTTATTAAAGCTAACCAGCTAAATGTTGGTCAATGAGCATTTTTCATTGTTGAAGCCAAAAAAGGGAAGTTTTTCAGTCAGAGATGAAATAAACTTTCAGTACAGGCTTTTTGGTTTAGGACACAAAGCACACACGCTTGCTAGTTTTATCAGTGGTTTACCAACGCCCCAGCTGCTATCACAGGAAGTGAGATAGGAAACAGATACTTCCAACAACTTCCTGATGTTTCCAGTGATTTCAGAGCAAACACTTGTCGCAACTCTCATGTGGATTATTGGTCATAAAAAAGTGGCGATAAAAATTTTCCAAATAATGTGTCTTGGTT